ACCACATTTTCTTAATCCATTCGTCAGTGGTGGGGCATCTTGGCTGTTTCCATAACTTGGCTATTGTGAATAGTGCCGCAATAAACATGGATGTGTTGCACAGATTTGTTGACAGCTACTTATTAGAATGTTTGGATGGCCCTGAATCAAGGCCGACAGTTTGTGAAGCTGTTGGTTTTAAGCAGGAGCCTGAAGAAATGTCATTCTAGGGTCTGTTGACCATTTCAGAGTTTTGGAAATACAGCAGAGAACAAAGAGTGTGTGTGGGGGGGTTGGAAATGTCAAACACTTGTGGCTTTCAAATTGTTTAAAAGAGAATTGAATATTTAAAAGCAGTGTCTATTTTCTGACAACAGAAATGCTAATGTTTAGGTTCTGCCTGGTGGGGGGGCGAGCCAAACAGTGTATCCACATGTGAGTAAATGTAAATATGATAAAAAAAAATAGAATAATGAGGAAGCAAAGGCCTGAGTAGAGGTCCTGGAAGTGCCAGTTGATGGAGCTCGGTACTGTTAATGGTATAGCGGATACCCTGTAGCTCTGAATTACAGAGACTTCGCTAGGTGGGCTCATTCTGTACAGACTGTTATGCAGCTTTAACCTAATATGTCCTGTGTGTTGCTCTTTGTTTTGTGAACTCAGGGCCTCAACACTTGCCAGGTAGGTGCTTACCACTTGAGCCACTCCACCAGTCTAAAGGCCGTGGTGGTCCAGGTGGAAAGGAGAAGCAGGAGACCGAGAGCTCTCTCTGTTTCAAGGTGTTTTTTTACATTCTTTTTTTTTTTTTTTTAGATGGTACTAGGGTTTAAACTCAGGGCTTCATGCTTAACTAAGCAGGCATTCTTACTGCTTGAGCCACTTCAACCTTTGCTCTTATCGGTACGTAGAAATGCGTGTCTTAAACCCCGAACAGTAGTCCGTCGTATGTATTCATTTTGTTCATTGAGCCCCTTGCTGTGGATCTTCAGTTTACTGTATGAAAACCCTCATCCTCATAGCTTGGAAACCTTATGCTGACATCTCTGTGAGGTACATTTCTGGAAAGGGAATTGCTGGGACAAAATCGTGCACTTTTTCAGATTGTGCCCCACAAAAGTTGTGATAACTTAAAATTTCTGTGATAATAAAACTAGATTATCCAGTCCCTTGGAGAGTCTTTAAAACCTGTTCACTTTCTTGTGTCTCTACCTTTTGTCCATAATATAATCTAGACTCTGGTATAGTTCCTTGTGGGAATTATATTAATATTGATCTTTCTGTCTGGCTTTGAGACAAAGTTCTCCCCAAAGCCAATTTATCATCACCAACCCTTCTGTTCTAAGATCATTTGTCATTTTGTGATTTTCAGAGGACTTGCATCGTTGGTTTAACAGAAAGAAACCCTCTTTCAAAGAAGCTTGTGGGGTGCCTGAGCTTCCAGAAGGTGGCTCTGAAGAACACCTGCCTCTGAGCCAGTTTACTACAGTGGATCGTGAAGCCATCTGGGCTGAAGTGGAGAAGGAGCCAGAGAAGTACCTACCAAGAAATGAGCTGAGTGAAGAAGACCTGCCCTACTACGTGGACCTTCCAGACAGAATGGCCCCAGGTGCTCCTGACAGCAGTGAGCACACTGAGTCTGCAGACACGAGCTCAGGCCACACGGACAGTGAGAACACATCCACTTTCTCCTCCCCCTCTCATGACCCACAGGAGCTGAGCCATGAGGAGAACTGCTGTGCTCCCATCCCCATGGGAGGCAGAGTGTACTCTAAGCGCTCATCCTTGCTGGCAGCCTTCCAGCCAGAAAGCTTCAAGTCCAATACCAAGTTGAGCCTAGTGCGGGCAGACTCAGACAAGACACAGGCTTCTGAGTCTTTGTCCAGTGATGAGGAAGCTGACTTGGAACTCCAGGCTCTCACCACATCACGTTTGCTGAAGCAGCAGAGGGAGAGGCAGGAGACACTCGAGGCCTTATTTAAGCACATCCTGCTCTACCTTCAGCCTTACGACTCCCGGCGGGTTCTGTATGCCTTCTCTGTGCTGGAGGCTGTGCTCAAGACCAACCCAAAGGAGTTCATTGAGGCTGTGTCTAGGACCAGCATGGACACCAGCTCCACCGCACACCTCAATCTCATCTCCAACCTCCTTGCACGCCATCAAGAGGCCCTCATTGGCCAGAGTTTCTATGGAAAGCTCCAGACTCAGGCACCCAACGTGTGCCCCCATTCTCTGCTTATCGAGCTCCTCACCTACCTCTGCCTGAGCTTCCTACGCTCCTACTACCCTTGCTACCTAAAGGTCTGCCACCGAGACATCCTTGGCAACCGGGATGTGCAGGTCAAAAGCGTCGAGGTTCTGATTAGAATAATGACGCAGCTGGTCTCGGTGGCCAAGTCCTCAGAAGGGAAGAACGTGGAGTTCATCCACAGCCTGCTGCAGAGGTGCAAGGTCCAGGAGTTTGTCCTGCTGTCATTGTCAGCATCCATGTACACGAGCCAGAAGCGCTATGGCCTGGCCACTGCTGAGCGAGGCAGGGCCCTGATGGAGGACAGCCTATTTGAGGAGAGCCTCATCAATCTGGGGCAGGACCAGATCTGGAGTGAGCACCCATTGCAGATCGAGCTGCTCAAGCTCCTGCAGGCACTCATTGTCTTGGAGCACCACCTGGGCCAGGTCCAGGAGGAGGCCGAAAACCAGCCAGCCCTGTCCCGGGAATGGCAGAAGGCCCTTAACTTCCAGCAGGCCATAGGCGCCATGCAGTACGTGCAGCCCCACCCCCTCACCTCCCAGGGCCTGCTGGTTTCTGCTGTGGTGAGAGGCCTGCAGCCTGCCTATGGCTATGGCATGCACCCCGCCTGGGTGAGCCTGGTCACCCATTCTTTGCCATACTTTGGAAAGTCCCTCGGCTGGACGGTGACCCCCTTTGTTGTCCAGATTTGCAAAAACTTGGACGAGCTGGTCAAACAGTATGAAAGTGAATCTGTGAAGCTGTCCATCAGGTAAGTTGAACTCTTTGAGGCATTGTTGCTTTAATATCAGGTTTTGTAATGAATGGCCGTTTCACTGTGGATGCCAGTTGGAGGAAATTCAGCCTAATCAGAAGCCTGGTTAGTGCTGTCAAGAGGGGTGGCCAAGAGCTAAATGATCAGATCCTTTATGTTTAATTCCACATAGGTACTCAGACTAGCTCAGTGGGGCTCGGCTGTTATTTTTGCAAAACAGAAATAAACAAACAGAATCACCTTCATAACAGCTCTAAAACATGTTAAATTATTTTCCCAAAGTAACCGTATGAATGTAAAAAGATGCCTGTCATTCTTATGATATTTCATTAGGAGAGTCCCAGTTCATTTATGATAGTGATATCTCTCTGGTTTCCATGTTTGTGTGTAGGATTAAAAACTGTTATGGGCCCATTCTTTAAAAGTCTCAAAACCAATCTGTCATTTCTTCACCAAAGCACAACCTCCAAGAAAGAAAACATTTCTCCAGATTACCCACTCACTCTTCTAGAAGGTCTGACAACTATCAGCCATTTTTGTCTTTTGGAACAACCCAACCAAAATAAAAAGGTACATTTTTTTCCTGAGTTTGAGGCAATTTTCATATATTGTTTTTGTCTTCATTGGATTACTACTGTTTCGAATAAGAGATGTGTAATATATGTGTGAATAATGGAAATGTGCATATAAATATATGTAAGTGATACAAATGTGTATGCATATATATGGGTGAGGTACAAATGTATGTAAGTGATGCAAATGTGAATGCAGGTGTGTGTGCATGTGTGCAAATGTGTGAACTATGTAAATGTGGTAAGTGATGCAGATGTGCATGCAAGGGACACAAATGTGATTTTGATCTTGCTGGCGCTCCCCATGCAGTGCTTCTTCAGCCCTTGCTTATTGTTCCATCAGTACCCATGTGGCATAAAATGTGAAGCCACTTGTTTCATTTTAGGCTTATAGTCCCTTTTTTTTAAAAATGTATTTTTTCTTGCTGAAGTGGTGTTTGTGAAATCTAAATTGGAAGACATTGTAGCTGTCAGTTGGTTTACCCCGTCTAAGATTAAATCCTAGAATACATCTAGTGCTTTGGTTAAATGAGGTGAAAGAATTTGTCACGTATCTTTGAAAGACAGCCATGGGTTGGAGCAGCTTCCAGACCGCTGCGTGGTGACTTGCTTGAGAGGGGCTAGCAGCCCACTCTAAATCCCAGCAGCACCACCGCCCTCTTGGAAGGGGAAACTTTGTTGATGCGGTGAGTCTCACAATCCACTGTAACTTTTAGTCTGCTGCCATAAGCGATCCCATCAACTTGAGAAATGCCAAGAATGCCATTTTGGAAGAGCTGCCTCGCATCGTAAACACCATGGCTCTTCTCTGGAATGTTCTCAGAAAGGAGGAGACTCAAAAGAGACCTGTGGATCTCCTAGGGGCCACAAAAGGATCCTCTTCTGTTTACTTTAAAACCACCAAGGTGAGAGTCCTTTCTCTTGACTTTTTTTTTTTTTTTTGAGACAGGGTTTTAATATATAATCTGGGCTGACCTGAAACTTGAGATCTGCCTGCCTCAGCCTCCTTTATGCTAGAATTATTGCTGTGTACCACCATGCCTGACTTCTTTCTCTACTTTGATAATTTACTTTGTCTGGGTTTTGTATCATGAAAAATGAATATGTATGGAAATGTACACACAAGTAATCAGATGTGCTCAGTGAAACCTAAGGTAGAAGAAGTCAGAAATATAGATCTCCATTTTGTTTTACTTATAAATACACATGGAACAGAGGCGCATGAGTGGTTTTAGCCTATTTTCTTATTTTCATCCATTTGCCCTTTTTTGTTTTTAAGTTAAAAATCAAATCTCTGGTGTTTGGAGGCTGGGGCATTTTAAAGTCCTCTACTAAAACTGGCTTATCTTTAGAAGGGTTTAGCTCTTAGAGGTGTCTTTGAAACCTGGGCACATCTGAGTGGAATATTGGGATGCCTTTGAGGGTTTTTTTTTTTTTTTTAATTAAACCACAAACACATATCCTAGAACATGTACATATATCCTCCTTTGCTTTTTATTAAGTCTCTGCTTTGGAAGGCTCCAGGCACATGACCCAGTCTCTGCTCATCTGTGCTGCTGTGTGGTGGCTCAGAATTAGCTTCCATACTTGACATCAGTTAGGTGCCCTGAGTGCCAGGTGTGGCCTCAGGGCTTATACATAGTGCTTGTTAGTTCTTTCGTCCTGCATTTGGGTACCATGATGCACAGGTGGCTTCCAGAACATTCTGTCAGTTGCAGAGGTGCTCTGGAAAGGAATTCTGTCATAGTTCAAGCTGCTGTAGAAACCTGCTATAAGAATTTTAGAAAAACCTTTGTACTCAGCATATTTGAGCCTCAGTTTCCTCATCTAGAAGATGGGGCTGTTGCTAGTCTGCTTCCTCATGGACTGGTAGAGAGATTAATTACAATACTGGCAGATGCCTTTTGAGCACCTGCCCCTAGCTTTCCCTGAAGCATCCGCTGAGGTGGAGTGGGAACCCAGCCATCTCTAGGGCAGCAACCTGGTAGAATGGAGAAGCCAATTCTATGCCAGGCTCAGTGTTGTCTAACAAGAAATAAGATGGGCAATGAGGACACAGTGCTCAGTAATGCATTCACCCAACAGATGTTCATGCACCCCCTGCTGTGTACCAGGCCCTGTTCCTATGCATGTGGACAGGGTAGACGGAGCCTCTGCCCTTGTGGTACAGGCTGGTGGCGATGAGGGAGAGAATCACTTCAAGGAAAGGCAGGTTGCTCTGACAATGTGTGATGGGGAACCTGACCTGGTCTGGGAGTCAGGGAGGGGAGTTACCCTGAGGCAGAGTGGTAGAGCTGAAACCCCAGGTTGGGGGAATTTAACCAAAATAGAATATTATGGACTGGGAGGGTTGCTGGGTTTGCAGATCAAGGGGCATGACAGCTTTCAGAAGCTGGGAAAATCTATGAAGACCCAAAGGCTCTTTGTTTAATAAAGCATTATCCAGGGCCAGGTTACAAGTTTACTTTTAAATTGGTGAAATAATACAACTATAATTACATAGTACTTACTTCATTAGTACTTTCCTAATGAATCTAAGCCACTATCTTCCCCTCTACTCCTACCCCTGTTGTTGGAGACTGGCCTAAGTTAACCGGATTTCCATGTGGAAGGACTGAGCTAGTTGCCTTGGTCCCTCTCGCTTCGCTGTCTCTGTAAAGCCTTGTGTGACTTCAAGATCCCACCCAGGGCTAGGGGAGTGGCTCAGTCGGGGAGAGCTTGCCTGACATGCACCAGACCCTGGGTTCCATCCCCAGTTCTGCAGAAAGAGACAAAAAAAGACCACATTCTGCTTCATAGCTAATTGGGATATTCATCATTTCCCAGGGTGTCCTGATCAACTCAGCTAGCCATTTCCCTCCACCATGGCCAGTCACGGTGCCCTCCCTCAGGTGTGGGTGACAGGTCCTCATCTCATATCCAGCTCCTTCAAGGGGGGCTCCCAACACTCTTCTTCTCTGGAACCACCCAGCCGTGAAGCATATGAGTTGTTGGGATGTTGGCACCACGGGTCCCTGCTCTCAGTACTTAATATACTAAATATGGAGTCCATGAGAGCCTGGTGTTACTCTGCAGTAACTCTTTTTTTTCTGCTTTTCAGACCATAAGACAAAAAATTTTGGACTTCTTAAACCCCTTGACAGCTCATCTCGGGGTCTACCTGACCGCCGCAGTTGCAGCAGTGTGGAGCAGGAAGAAGGCTCAGCGCCACAGTAAGACAAAGGTGAGGTTAAAAGTGAAAACAAGATTTAAACCTACTCTGACAAAGAAACACCAAGGGCGAGACAGCATGGGAACTACTGAGTTAGTTTCACTGTTTTCAGTGTGTGGATTAATACAGCTGTGTTGCAATTCAGTGAGAATTAGAGGTTGAATGGATAGAAGGAGCCTCACCTTTGCCTCTGTTTTCTAGTTTTTCTATAATGAGCATAAAATACTGCTTTTTTGCCCTTTTTTTCATCTAACATGCCTATACTGGTATAGACAACATATACATTTTAAAGAGAAAACCACCAGGAATCTCAGCCAGCATTGTCCTCCCTATGAAGAACTGTGAGCTGTTTCTTGGTGGTAAACCTGACGCAAGCTGATTTTCTTCCAAGTGCTTGTGACTGTGTTAAGCAGATCTCTGTCATCGTCCTGGGGCTTTCATGTTAGGGACAGCTAACACGAACCTCAGTTAACCTGTTCTTGTTCTTCCTTTCCTCGTATTTTTATCTTCATCCTTGATCCCAGCCTGTTTCCTTCAAGTATAGGTCTCTAAAATGCTTTCTAAATTCAAACATCAATGTCACTGCCCCATCACCTTTTGTATCACATACTGAATGAGTTTCTGTGGTTAAATGCTTACCTCACTCCATACTCTCCAAGGGAGAGTGCAATAGAAAATATTGATTTAAAAGATTAAGGGCTGGAGGCATGACTCAAGTAGTACAGAGCTTGCTTAGCAAGGGCAAGGTCCTAAGTTCAAAAGTCTAAGTAACACATACACACACACACACACACACACACACACACACACACACACAAAAGATTAAAGCAAATTTTTTCAGGAACAGTTACAATAGAATACTTTTTATATATCATTTTATTTTTATTTTCTCTCTGTAAGCTTTCAAGGAATTACTTTTTCTTGGCAGATCATCCCAGTGGCAAGCGCATCCCAGCTCACCCTTGTTGACTTGATTTGTGCACTCAACACCCTGCAGACAGACACAGTGCTACACCTGGTAAAGGAGGTGGTGAAGAGGCCACTGCATATCAAAGGGGATGAGGTGAGGAACCTGGGGGAGCCCAAACATTTAGGGAATCTGCAGACACGACATGTGAGTGGCTTTCTTCCTAATGCTACTTCCTGCAAAATGTGTTCAGGAGGGACATATAGGTAGCAAGAGCATGTAGGAGTTCTTGGGGTTGTGATGTGGAGGTGTAATTACTGTGCTTTTGCGGGGGCCGACTGGCTCTGGTGCTGCTGTTTTAAGGTAGAGACTATCTGTCCCCAGTACTTGGATTCTTTGCACCTTCAGTGCACTACCTGGAACAAAGTCTTTAGAAAGAGGAAATGACACCTGCCTCAAGGAACTCACAGCTTGAAAGACATCAAAGGTGGTGCCAGCAGATGTGATTCAGCAACTGCCACAGTGGGAAAGGCTGGGCTAAATTCTAATTTGTGTAGCGATGACTAAAGGGAGAAGGAGGAAGGGTAAGGAGCAGAGTTCCTGCAACTTTGGGAACGTGCGAAAGGACAGAAAAGCAGGTGGAAGGGGGCCAGTTGATGCAGTTGGGTCCCTGAGTTTGCTAACTGGGACTTAGGAAGTTAGGCTCCAACCCCACACAGAGACTGGGTGACAGAGGCCAGGCATTCATGGTGATTATACTCCAAAGGGACCTTGAAAAAGATGTTCCTGAATTGCAGGAGACACGTATATACCCAAAAGGAGAGAGGGAACATTTATAATTGCAAGCTTTTTATAAATAAATGCTCTAAGAAAGGAAGGTAAGGTCAGGTGTTGGTAAGAACAAACGATTCTTTTAGCAACCTTGAGCTATCTGGGCAGTCACTTGAGGAGGGCTAGGGTTCTCATCCTAGGGACCCAGCCTCCTGCTACTAGAAACTATGTCAGTGTTTGCTCAAATTTATGAGTATGGAGAGTGGAGGAAATCATTCGTGCTGAAAGTTGTGGGTCTTATAGTCTGGTCAAGGAGAGTCTTTGTCAAGGGCAAGTTTAAAAAACTTGCACTGTTTGTTTGTTTTTTTTTTAATAAAAATAAATGTCACATTGCTGGTGCACTTGGGAGGCTGACCTAAGGCAGGAGGATCATAAATTGAAGATCAGCTTGAACTATGTAGTAAGATGCTATCTCAAAAAAAAAAAAAAAAA